AGTCGTAAGAGAATTTATACATAAGTGTTCCAGGACAAATTAGGGATGTTAGCATATAGTCATTTAAATGACTAAGGGATAAGCCTCTGTATCGGAGAGCAGTGGGGGTGGAGGCAGGAGCCAGTAGAAGCCAGCTCCCCACAAGCACCAGATAGCTGCCTGTCCCACTTACCACAGGCAGCTGCTTGGAGGGGGAGGGGAGCAGGCGGGAGCCAGTACACCTGGGAAGTCAGCTTTCAAGCTGGCTCCCTGCGCATATCTGCTCCCACAGAACCACCAATCCCTTGACCCCCCTCCCCCATGCGGCTCCCTCTCTTACAGAGACAGCAGCATGGGACGGGTGGGGGCAGGCAGGAGCTGAGAGGCATGGGGAGCCAGCTTTTAAGCCAGCTCTGTGTGTGTGCTGGCTCCCCCAAGAACTAGCTTTGCACAGCTACCTCCCCCTTCCTCTTGCTCTGGCAGCACTGCAAGGTGGCAGGGGGCTCTCTGGGAGTGGGGCCAGGAGCACACTGGCTGCCCTGGGGACCATCCAATAATCGTGTAACTGCTAAGATTTGGTGCGGTTACATGATTATTAAATTAAATTATATGTAACATCCCTAGAACCAATTGGACATCCATCACACAGAACACAGAGGCTTGTAGGCAACTTGTACCTTCTGTACTGTAACTTCATTATGCACTCCTGAGTGGGAGTTAGGCAGGCAGCTGAGCCTTCATGCCCCTCGCCTGGCCAGACTACATTATACGTCTATTATAACCTTTCCAATGCATCCTATTCCCATGCTTGGGTTATAGTCCCCAGAACTCAACAGGAATACTACTTTTCCCCCCCACTGTTCAGTAAAGCATATAACAAAGGACAGGAAAGATTAATATTCAAATATAAAGTGGAGCTAATGAAAGACCAGCTGGGAAGATAAATATCTTAAGCTGGGCAGGCATTTAACACTTGTTGGAGTTCCTGAGGAGGAGTACAAAGGAACTGGTTTAACTTTTCATAAGTAAGGCTCAGCTTCCAAAACTTTGAGAAACAGTGGATCTAGGACAGTCCTTACGTCCTCCTAACATAAGATGCCTGGGTTGGGATAAATAGTGATCCCGGTGGACTAACTTTCCTCTCTCTTCTTCAAGGATTTTTCCATACCTTTTGTTTCTGTTCTTCAGAGTTAACTTGTAAAAATGGCATGAGTGTAATTGTCTCTCCCTGATCAAATGGATTCTATTTACAAGAAAATAAATGTATTTTCAAAGTAGCCTTCCTGCATCCTTACTGACATTGCGTGATCCATGCTGGACTCCATGCAAAGTGGCCAATCTAAAATTCGATGTAGACAGTGCACAGACAGGAACTCCAGCAAAACAAGAGAGGGAGGGTAAGCCAGAGAAGGCTGAGGCTCCTCAAAGGGAGTGAGTCCCCTGCTCTGCCTAATCTTTGGTCCTAAGGGAACTGCTACATTAATCGCTCAGTCTGCAGGGGGCAGGTGTCCCTCTGGGGCAGCTGCTCCCAAGTCCCTAGTCGCATTGTGGGGGGGAGGGCAGGCTAAAAGCTAGGGGAAGTCTGCCTTACGGCGAGGCTAGAACTACCACTCCCAGCAGGCACAGCGCGCAGGCAGGGGGGGGGAGGACCGGGCA